TATTACAGGATCTGTCATAGACATCAAATACATGTTCGTAACTGATCGGTTTCTTATATTGAATAAGTAGGTAGGTAGATGACTCAAATGTCAGTCCATATCTGCATTGGATATACCTTTCATAAAATATGAATGTAATTTACGTAACAGTAATTATCTTCTTCCCATTTTAGCTCGGATGCGTTCCCGAATGGTGATTTTGTAAAGGCACAGTACCAGAAGTGCATCTTACGTCATGTCACATATAAAGCGGCAATTAGCAATTAACCTCCTTATTTTTATATTTTCAGTATGCTGGAACCGGAAAGCGATGACCTTGAACTGGTCTACCATGCAGAGGAACCTGCCGTCACCGATGAAGTTGTGGGCGGGGCGATCAGCAATGGCCACGCCCACGACACGGCCACAGATGTCAGTCAAGTGAATCCAACCTTGCAAATCGAAAGTCAGACGTCAACTTCGACAAATGGGACAGTAAGATTTTCGGACCCTAACAATACGCCGGCATCGTCGTCAGCGGTGGCGGTATGTTCTCTAGAGGGCGGAGAAGAGGAGGTCACAATGACAAGAGACATGGTAGAGACGCGCCCAGATGGCCGTAAAGTGATACACACGACTCCAGAACTTAGAGAGGACCTTTCCCAAGATCTTCAAGACAGACCTCTCAAAGAAAAAGATCTGAAGTTTTTAAAGATGTTCTCAATAATAAGTATTTTTCTCTTTTTCCCACTGGGTATACCAGCCTTGTGTTATTCGAGGAAAACAGCAAAGGCGTTTCACGATGGCATATTAAACGGTGACTTGGACAAAGCTCGAAGGTTTGCCAAGCGAACAGAGAGGTTTATCGTGTTGTCTATTGTTATGTCTCTGATCACAGCAATTTTTGTGTTTGCTTTAGCGGAATACGAGACGGTTGGAGCACCAGCCACAGGGACAGCGTCAAGAACACAAAACTTGATGGTGAGGCATCCTTAGTCGTCACGATCCGGTGTCACGTGACAGAGAGTCCCCATAATAGAAAGTCCGCTTCGTATACATTTGTACAGGTGAGCCTGATCGTCCTAGATTTTAACCCAAAAAGTTCAGGCTAACCCTAACCATTATAACTAAACGGATGGCAGACTTTCTGTTACACGGACCCTCAGTTTCGTTACACCTGAACAAAGCTACCCAGGTATTTATGCCTAGGTTCTAGTTTTACAATATCAAATTTATGAATTTAAAGTATTTTACTGTATATTTTATCTGTGTATCCCAACATACAGTACATGTATATATAAGAAGATGTATTGTGCTTTATCTCATTAACAAGATGTTTTGACTTAATGGGGATTGACATTATGTCATCAACATGCAGCTTATCATCCGTGTGACGTTTAAACTCGTTATTTATAGATTAGTCTGAGTAGAGGTATCAAATTCTTGGGGCGCTTGTATAATGGCGGCTTGGATTTAATTGCGGAATCCCGCCCTCTTATTATATAAGATGAGATATTATATATTATATAAGACTTATAGACAGGTAACGAATGTTAACTAAACGGACGATTACTGTTTCATGAAATACTTAAATCTTTCTTTATTATTTAACATATATTATATTTTTGTTACATTATATTTTCCTCGCCTATGTATCCTCTCCAGAGATGCAAGAATGAAGAAAAGGATAGGTTTGCTAACGTTTTAAATGATGTTTTAATTTTATCTCTCTGTGTTACGTTCGTGTTTATAAGATATATGTTTACACAAATGCACGTGTCTATATATTTAAGGATAGATATAATAATGTAAAGTGCTTCGTGTCACTTTAGGACAGTGTACAATTGTTGATTTTATTCATAGTTTATTTTGTTATTGCATATTTTAAAGCAATTATTTCTATTACCAAAGCCTTGTAACAAGGATTTGTAAATGTATTAGGTGTCGGGCGTACTATACGGAGATGAGAATACCTAGTATTTTCAACAGTGCAGATAGTTTATACCAAAGATGCAGGAATAGATTTATCATACTACGGAGTACATGCATAATCCATTTTTACAAGCATTTGACATTCTCATTATTGCGGCAAAAATGCGAAAAAGTGGAGATTTAAAGATGTAAAGAAATCATCCGGAGTTGAATTTTGGTGACTATTTAAAGACGTCCTCTTTGATGATAATCCACAGGTATCCTGGAGGGTAATTGCTTGTATAAGAGGCGTTGGCTCCCTGAGAGTTACGAGTTTTGGTCTGTTTTAACTTTCTCTGTTAATGGCATTCATTTAAAGAAAGAAATCGGTATTATTTTAATCAAGCAACATTTATATCCACTCGCTATGTACATGTTCATGCATTATGTGTAACCTTTGTTTAGAGAGGGGTAGGTGGCGACATCTGTGGTTTATGTAAAGAAATTGGTGGGAAATGTTTAGCACTGTGATATCTTATATTAATAAAGCACCTGAGAGAATGGTTGTGAAAAGGGGTTCGTTTTCCTTCTAAAATTATTCAAAGATATGGAAGGATCTGAGGCAATGACCTCAGCAGAGACTATAGACGACTTATAATCGGGTTTCCCCTAAAAATAATGTTACAATGAAACGGAATGTCTCCAGTAAAAGCCCCTTCATAGCACGTATTTTGATACGTATTTAAAGAATACTTTAAGCTTGTCATACTGGCTAATTTGTTCTATTATCTAAACAATATAATCACATATTTCAATAAGCAAAAAGCAATGTTCTAAGCTTTGAAAAAAGGTTTTATCCAAAAGCCTGTTGAGTTGAAACTCAATTGCAACGAGCAAGGGCTCTTGGAATAGTTTTCGTCCAAAGTTTGACGCGTTCTGGAATGACACTCCTCTTCCCCACTATGACGTCACCAAACTCAAGGTAGTGCTTTTCATTCACAGTGTATTCCTCCCATAGTGCTGGAACAGGCTCTGGGATGTTTGGATTTCTGAAAAAAAAATGCAAATTAGGGTATGCAAATTAGGGTCAATCAATAGAAAATGAATATTTTTATTTGAGTTACGTCCGTGATGCACAATTGTGTAATATTTGCACAATTTTAATTTTGACCTGTCCCGTTATTATTGGAGTTATAATTAAAAGTGATATAAAACAGTAATACTGTCCATGTACAGCACGCCATATATGTTCACTATTTTCTCTCATTAATTTCCCTGCCAAAATCATGTTAACAAAATAAACAGTGTGGGGTGCCTTACCCGGTCTTGGCAAAATTGGACCAATATCGCATCATCATCTTACTCAGATACTTCTCATCGTCAGTGAAAGTGGCACCGGGGACAAAAGGTTCATGTGAACCAATCATAAAATGAAGGTCGTCTCCGTGATTTGCTCGCTGAAACCAAGATTGTGAGCCAATCATGACATTTCCATACAGCGGCTTTCTCGTGAAGTAATAGAGATAGGTCGACCGACCTTCTTGAGAGAGATGTGGCGTCATTATTTCAAACATCGATTTTGTGAAAACAATGTCTGTAAGCAGATCAATATAATCACGAACAGTTTCTAATTTTGTAGCGTTTTTTTCGTAATACAATTCCGTGATTGCCTTGATAATTTCCGTACAGCTGGTGTTGAGCAATGAGATTGTCCAGTAAGGAATCAGAGTGTCACGGACGAAAAAGGGATCAATTCCGTCGAGGAACTTATTTAAAAGAAAGACTCCTCCGTCTCCATCAAGAAATCCAGTCATGACGTCAAAAGAACGGAGACGCTGCAATACGCTAGGATCCTTTAACATCTCTGATATTGGTTTAGTAAGCAAGACACCATCGATTGAAGGTAGAAAGAACGCGCTTGAAAGACCCACAATGGAACCTATGAGTGTCTCGGCGTCTATGCTGCGTAGACAGTCTACCATGGCCATGGTATTTGTCGTTGGACATCCAACAATGTTTCCAGTTCTCACAGCGATTTCTGGGGCATCTTTTGACGCCACCCAAACCTTACTGTTCGTGATACCACTTTGCCTAATGAAGCGTTGGAAGAGGCCTGAAGAAGCGTTCGCCAGGGCCAGCTGTACCACGCTACTGCCACCTGCTGATTCGCCAAAAATCGTCACCCTGTAAAACACCAATGACAATTGAACAGTAGATGTGAAAGAAATACTGAAGAAATAGAAATACTGGAAAACAGTGCTACAAGAAAGAACTGTGCTACCAATGTACTCTGAAAGCCCAACGTAGTTGCTTGAAAGAAATTAATTTAAAATATTTATATGAAAAAATACATACCAATATCACGGCTTAATTCATTTTCCCAATATAACAATACTAATTAAGTAACTGTCACAACTAAGCTGGTATTTATTAATTCATAATATAATTAGTTGAAAATTTGCGTTATTTATGCATGCACTCTGTACCGGCGTATATATACCTCCCACTATCCCCTCCAAAGTACTGGATATTCTTCTTGATCCATTTCAGCGCCTCAATTTGGTCCCACAGTCCTATATTACCTGGTACGTTGTCGTCACCAATGCTGAGAAACCCAAACACATTCAGGCGGTAGTTCATAGACACCACAATGACGTCACCTGTCACCGCTGAAAATAAGAAATAGAATAAGGATGTGGTCTTGCTCATTAATGATGGTCCTGATAAAAGTGAAAGTAATGAAATAATGTTACCCATGGGTTTATAGCTTTAAGCAAGGGAACTATCGTTGTATTTTGAAGGGATTAAGATTTTAAGGTTATATTAGGTAGTTTCCATTACCAAATAAAATTTTCTAAAGAAATTCGTTATTCGTCAGAGTTATTTTAGACTTATTCTTCATACCATTTGAATACTTCAGTTTACAAACCAAAATATATTCAATGAATTAATAATTTGTATTTATATTTTATTAATGCACTCATTTAATATAAAAATTAGTAAACGCAAACGAAGATTGAAAGCTCCATTTTCAATTCAGCTGCCATTTTAGTGTTTTCCAAGAATACATGACGATTATGAAATCTATTGCAATGTTATTGTGAGATGACTGTCATCCAATTTGAAGGTTGACGTATTTGTTATTTTAAAGTCCTCAGTGCCAATTTACTAACCGAATTCTTTGAAACTGTATAGGGCTGTTCCACCTGTGGTATACCCCCCACCGTGTATCCAGACCATGACCGCCTTATTGTTGGAACTGTTTGTGGATCCAGGAACAAAAACGTTGAGTGTCAGGCAATCTTCCGAAATCTACATGATGAAGAGTGGATATTTTGGATAATAAATCGTAATATTACATCATTTTGGTGAATTTCACAATAAGATCAGAAATATATACTGAAATTATGTTTTTATAACATAAATGTGTCAAATGGTTTAAAGTCAATTAAATCTCTGACACTGTGCACTATTTTGATTAATTTCACTTGCATTAAATTACGTATCGAATAATAAAGTTAACTACTGATTTTTCTTAGAACCTTAATTTCTTCCTTGTCGTTATTGGATTGCTTTTTAATTTGAACAACAGGGTTTGATGATAAAAAGAATGGTTAGTTATATCTTTTATTTATAAGAAAATAAGTTGTATTAATTAAATATATAGGAATGAGCAAAGTATCATGTTGATGTTTTCGTAGCTATTAATCATTTGAACTGAGCGTTTTTAATTCATAAGATTAAATTCTTTAATAACATATGAGGCATATGAGGCATAGAATAAATCCTTTTAAACCTTTAAATCCATGAATTTTTAAATGTTTGGCTGTAACAAACGGCACATTCGAATCTGCTTTTTATACTGTACATAAATTCTTGACTATACCTAATGTCGTAGTTCTGCTAATTATCCAAGAACTAATGTGGAACCGTCTGTTCCTATTACCATTTTATCTTCAGTATAGCACATTTTTTATTCGCCATTACGCCACTTGATAAATTTTAAAAACCCGTGATCGTATTACAAAGCACACAAAATGCTACATCATGAACACAGATAACATTTAAAAGGATGTAGTTGTCTCTATGTATGACTTACACACACATAAAATTCGCGGGAAAATATTATGATTTGTTTTTGTTTCTTGTTTTTCTGTGCGTGAATAAAAAGTTTGTTGCTTTTACATTAGGCATACCGAGTATATTATTACTAGCTACCCAGATAAATGCATACATTCGATATATTTAGATCACCTATAGCAGGAAACTCCAAGTGACTACTGGTACCTGCAGAATGTATTAGATACATGTTACATGGAAAGGCAGGAAGAGTAATTATCAAACCCGTGAGTCGGATTGTTTTATATTTGTTTGCATCCCTGGTAAAAATGATAAAAATCTAACTGAATTATGTTTAAAATATTTAATTTTAAAAAGAGCTGCCTAACAATTGGGAGGGTACGTTCAGTGTTCATAAGTGAAAGATTTCAAAACTTATACAAGAACACAGTTCTAAGTGAAGTACGGCGATACCCTCCCACCCAATGGCGGCGATGTTGCGATATCCATTCGATCGTATCACTGCGACGTTTGTCTTGCAACTTAAAAGACGCATGGGCTTCAGAGAAGAATTTCATCAGCTGTGTTATGTCATAAGAATGATGTAATTTTTCTTCAGTCAACAGCTAATATTGAGATACAGCATTGGTCAAAAAGGTTGTCCCACCCCCATTTCCATGTACTTTTATTTACAAATGATCACTTCACAGCTGTGAACTGTTAGAAATAGTGCTTTTTATCACGGATACCGTGTCTAACATGATTAATGGTTAAAAAAAAATACAAAATAGTGGTGAAAATATACATATTTTATACCATTTAGTAAAATTTATAAGAGGTACCCCCTCAAATCGACTGTTTCACTGTTACTTCTACAGATGTAAAGAAATGTCTATAAAATTGAAAAGGTGCCATCAAATGTCACCAAATTCACACACAATTAGCATTAGGGTGTGCTCGTTAAAGATCACGTGCCTAACAGCGTGTGCGTCTACCGCGTACTGCAATTATCTCCTGTAGACGGCGCGACAAGCCTTCAACATGGGTAACAATTCTGTTATGTGGGATATTGTCCCATTCATCCTAAAGAGCGTGGCGGAATTGGTCAAGATTATTTAGGAATTGGTTCTCCTCTGCAATGCACATTCCAATTTATGCCACAGGTGCTCAGTAGGATTAATATCAGGACTCAAAGACGGTTGTCCCATCCTCAGAGCCCTGTGTTTCTGCAACAAATCGTTTGCCAGACGAGAGCTGTGAGCAAGTGCGTCGTCACAATGAAGCCAGTAGTATCCCTGAAGTCACCTCTTGCAAATGGAATGAGATTTCTGTTGAGAATGTTACATCAAAATGCCCCTGTTACGTTTTGTTCCAAAAGGAACAATGTACTAATACCATGGGCTTGGAATGTTCTCCAAATGCGGATTGATCTAACACCTCAGGCGATATTATCCTGCACGCACCCTTCCAAGAGGCATTTTTTAACATGTCTATGGACCCTCTTTGACCATCGATGGGATACAAGAAATAATTTGATTCTGCATCAAAATCAACTTCCTTCCAGTGATGGATGGCCAGGTTCAGGTGCCTGTGGGATCACTGAACGTAGCATTCTCAGCTGATATCTCATTCCATCTTCAAGAACTGACTTTGGGGTTAACTTCAGGCTTTATCATGACTGCACACTTGCTCACACCTCTTGCCTGGCAACTGTTTGTTGAAGAAACATAATGGTCTAAGGATGGAACCACCATCTTTGAGCCCTGATATCAAACTTACTAATCAACTGTGACATGTATTGGAGTGTGCAATGCAAAGGAGAACCAACCCCATAAAAACGTGGACCAACTCCCCCAACTTGTTTGAGAAGAAGAATACAATATCCCACAAAACAGAATTGTAACCCGAGTTGAAGGCTTGTCGCGCCGTCTACAGGAAATAATTGCAGTACGCGGTAGACGCACACGCTGTTAGGCACGTGATCTTTAATGAGCACACCCTAATGCTAATTGTGTGTGAATTTGGTGACATTTGATGGC